AATTTTGATATAACTCAAATATCAATATAATAACTGAAACGAGAGATAGGTAGGAAGTAGAAAAATGCTAACTCCGGTTTGAAACAGTTCCCTGAAGTCACCTCACCAAAAATTTAAAACCCAGAACGCTGAATCCATCGTGTGAGGTCCCACCAGACCAATAGCAAGCAAAGAAATGTCTCCTTCTTTCTATTTCAAGTTAGCATGTCAAGTGCGTGATTGGCACTCGATCTCTTCAATACTTTATTGGATCTGAAAGCAAAGAAGGCAATAATAATGCCGCTGTCGATTGATTATTAAGGTTATGGATGCAAAATACGTTGACCGAAAAACATGTGGGCTTTATATTGAAGCGTTCAAAATTAGCCTGTCCCAGTCTCGACCCGAAATTTTTTGAGATGGGCCAAGATATGGGATGAGGACGGATCCATATTTTGTGTTTTAGGAGATATCCGTTCGCTTTTGATTTTAGTGCTCATGATTCTTCTAATATTGGCTTCTTAGCTTTATGGTTTTGGTGGACGAATCAGTTAAATTTGAAAACTGAATAATTAATTCAAAAATATGTGATGTGGCTGGAAAATAATATTTTTCCAAGGGTCAGCTGTACATGCATTATTATTGAAAGACGAAGAGTTAATTGAAAAATGTAGAAGAAAATAGTTAGTGATAATTATTTATTTAACACTCTTCAGTCTTAAGATGGAGGTTATTAAATAGGTACAATTAAAATTAAAATTAAAATTAAAATTGCGTAGCATTGAATGATATATCAAAACTCAGGTTTAAACTTAATTGTTTCTTATACTACTAGGGTTTTTTCCCCTTCATGTTTGTGGTTTTTATTTTAAAAAACATAAATAAGAATGGAGGAAATGTCACTATTATCTTGTACTTGTAATATTTTTTTTGGCTATATTCAAATTACAAAACTTAAGTATCCGCTGGTGATTTAACAATCACTTATATTCAAGTAGGTTGTTAAGAATTCAAATTTTATGATATAACTATTTATTTTCTTTAACACTCTCAATTTGAAAGTTATTAAATAAATACAATTAATATTAAAAATTCAAATTGCGTGACATTGAATGATAGGTAGAATTGAAATTAAAGTTAATTAATTGGTTCTCATATAATGCTACTTGGATTTTATTTTATCTTTCGTATTATATGTTATTTTTTAAATTACGTCCTATGAAATTTTAGATGGAACTGATATTAAAATTGATTAATTGATTCTTGTATAATAGCAATAATATTTCTTGGGTTTTCTGGTAAAAAAATATTTCTTGGGTTTTATATTTTTCTTCATCTATGTGTTTTTTTTTTAAATAAAAACAAGGACTTCATTTCTCTTCCTTTGTATTCGTTACCAATTGAGTTTTGTCTTTTCCTTAATCTATATGGTTTTTTTAATTAAAAAAAATTCATTTCTGGTCTTTTTAGAATTCTTAATTTAATATATTTGAGTGTTATAATAATATGTGTCTATCTACTGATTTTCTATTACATTGCATTTGGTTAATATAAAGTTAATCGTTTAAAGTTATCTGTTTCAAATATTATTTTGTTATTTGTAAGGGCAGTTTGATTTTTACTTTAAGACGTTTTCACTTTATTCTAGGTCTTTATTCATGAGAAAAAAAAGTTTTCCTAAACAACTTATTAATTCGATGGCATGAGAAAAGATTTCGACTACTAAAATGTTTTTACAAATTCCAATAAGCATTATACCTTATTTCCCTTATTTACACGTGTTGTAAATTTTTTTTTTTGGTTTGTTGAAAGAGATTTTGGATAGTTAGCTTGGGCTGGGATTGGTCAATTTTTAATATACGGGAGGGGGGGTTGACTTTTAGATATTTTAGGATGCTAAGTGCTAGATGTACTTTAAAAAATATTTTAGGGTGCTGACTTTAGCCCTTGTAATTATCTTATTTCACATAGTACTTAAATGCTAATAACCTAACATTTAGCACTTTATTAATTTTTTCAATCAAATGGTTTGTTGAAATTCAGATGATCACAATTTTTTAAGGGACTCAAAATTTAAGGATTTTTATCCATGGGGATTTATTAGATGCTAAGCTAATCAAGGAGCTTTTGAGGTCGTTAGAATTGTTGAGCATTGTCTTCTTTGATGTTTAGAATCTCTCATCAATTTGTTTTATCATTTAACTATTCACAAAATTTGAAAATTATTTTCCGACATTCTGGTAGGTAGGAAGTAGAAAAATGCCAACTCCGGTTTAATTTTAAAACAGTTCCCTGAAGTCCCCTCAGCATGAAAATTTAAAACCCAGAAAGCTGAATCCATCGCGTGAGGTCCCACATGACCAACAGCAAGCAAAGAAATGTCTACTTTCTATTTCAAGTTAGCATGTCAAGTACGTGATTGGCACTCCATCTCCTCAATACTTTATTGGATTTGACAGCAAAGAAGGCAATAATAATGCTGCTGTCGATTGATTAATGCAGTGATGGATGCAAAATACATTGACCAAAAAACATAGGGGTTTTATATGAAGGATAGGAAGTAATCTTTTGATCCTTAATATAAAACTCATTTAACTATTTTAATTAAATTAAAGATGTTAAGTTAAGTAATAATTATAAAAATCCCAAAATACCCTCCGTTTAAAATTTTGAAGAGAAACTAACATTTAAAAAAATTCAAGTCGGGTTAACTCGCCTCCTCCGATCCAATGTCGTCCAAGTTCTCCTGGCTCACACGTTGTTCGAGTTGTCGGTCTCACTCATCAACTGCTTATTTCGTCGATATTGTTTCTCTATATTTCATATTTTCCGTCAATTTCAGTTTTGCTTACCTAGTTCGTCAATGTTGTCTCTGGATTTTGGATTTCTGTCAGATTTCGGTTTTGCTTGCTTAGATTGTCAATGTTGTTTCTTTGGATTTCAAATTTTTATCGATTTCAGTTTTTTTAAAAAATTTTAAATTATTTTATTAAAAATATAAAATGGTAGAATTGATGTATGTGTGGAATTAATGAGTAATAAATATTCATTCATTTTATAAAATATATAGGTGTATTATTAATGAATAATAAGTATTATTGCAGTATTTAATTATTTAATAGGGATAATTTAAGAAATAATGAAAAAATATGAGAAAGGGGTCTTATATCTAGGACCAAGATCAACCTTCCAATTGGGTCTTATATTAAAAAGCGGAGGAGTAGTATATTCATTCCATTCTTCTCCTCTTGGGTGGTTATTACTTCTCACAACTTCACTTTCTACTTTCTTGGTCGTCCAATCGAGAGGAAGATTCGTCATCGGAATTTCTAAGAGTTAGATGATCAAGTGAATCAACTTAGGCTGCATCATTGCATTGCATAATTATTAGAAACCTGGTATTTTTTGACTGCCTTCTCTCTCTTCTGTAGTGCTCTGTTGTACCATTTAAGTTTAGGTATCAATAGTCTAAACTCTACATGAGTACCAGTAGATCAACTTGCAAAGCTCTGAAACGATAATTCAGATCCGAATATGGATTCAACCCAATACACTCTTCTCTATTCATTATTTATTTTTCCAACAGACTCTTTTATTGAATTTCAAAATCTCATCTTGGGATTTCGAATGGCCCATAGAAATTTTGCAATTTCAGTGCATCATTTTGGAAAATTTATGTTTTTCAAGTTTTTTTCCTATCATTTTTTTTCAAAATTAAATCTGTCCCACCAAACCATCACTACTACAAGTAAGGCTATTTTTGTCACTCATTTTCATCTGTTTTGAAAAATATAAGAATATGGGCTTTTCAAACTCAACTGTTAAAAGAAAATAGACAAGTATGGGCTCTCATACTCATTTGTTGTGAGGAACAGACGAGTATGGGGGGTCCATACTCGTTTGTTATGATGAACAGACGAGTATGAGCCCCCCATATTTGTCTGTTTTTCTTAAAAACAGATGAAAATGTCTTTTTTTATTCAAATTTCATCTTTGCCGCTCACATATTTGAACATACTCTAGAAATATGCCTTCTCCTTTCTTCTTCGTGTGCAGTGAGCTCTTTCTTTCCCTTCTTTAGATTTCTACTTCTCCTTTCCAATACTGATGCTGACAATTAAGTTTGTCTTCTCCTTCTCTAGCTAGTAGCTCCGCCTCTCTCTCTCTCTCTCTCTCTTCCCCATTGGTTTTCTCCCTCTCTTCCTCATTCTCCATCCATGTCATCCCATGACAAGGAGCAACATGTTCTTCCACAGAAGTCACCATTCGATCTCGTCCACCTTAAGCTTGTTCACAACACAAGGTAAGTGCATGGATGTATGTGTCTTTTACAGTACGTGAGTTTTTGGATGTTGAAAGAAATTAATGTAATTGATTGTAGGTGTGTATGTTTTCTATTTAAATCGATTGTCGGTAAGAATTGCACTTATGAATTATTCAACATTGATTGGGTTACATTTTGATGATTAAAAAGCTTGCTAAACTTGTTTAAATTTAACCTTAATGCACATAAGGTGTTTGTGAAAATATGTAAGAGAGCAATTTGATTGGCATGCAACAGTTCTATTTGGGCTTCGGGCCACAGTCTAATTAGTAGTTTTAGAAATATTTACATGTTTTCTTTTTTACTATGGTAATTTGTATAACAGTTTTTCTTTTTTACCATAGTAGTAGTTTTATAACAAGTTTATAACGTTTTAGTGAGAGAGTTTTACACATCACACTGTGAACTTTTCCCTTTTGAGATTGTTAGCAAGAGAGACAAAGGCAATGAGACCAGTTATAAGATTATTTGAGTTTTACTTCAGAATGTCAAAGAAGTTAGAGGAGAGTTGTTAATCTTTTAAGCCTTTGGACACACTACATTTTACTCACATTCTAGCAGCAAGTACAATGGGAAGGAGAAAAGCAGAAGTAGACATCTAATGTACCTTTACCCGGTTGAGAAGAGTAAATTTTTACCAACTTTTGCTCCTCCTCCTCCTCCTTCTTTTGGTAACATACGACGCAAATACAAGCAACCAATAAGAGAACGCCAACTACTGCTCCAGCAGATAATCTAGCAATAGCCCCACCTTTTAGACCTGCTTGTGTCGAAAACAATATCAGACCAAAGTAGCACCGACCTTATAATTTCAGCATATTCTTACCAACGCATTCATAAAGTAAGCAACTTTCTCAAAAGAGAGAAGGCCAACCTTTCGTGCTGCAAAGGGAAAAGAGAACACACACATTAGGATTAAGAAATTTAGAGTAAATTACAAGAACTCCTTAGTTTTGCTAAAAGTACGAATCCAATTCCAGAAAATACAATTTAGTGCCGCTTATTTTTTTAATACTAAAACACCCTCTATGATATGTATTTTATCCGAGTAGCACCAAATAAAAATAAAAAAGCAGATTGTTTTCATGAATATTAACTACCAAAAAAAATGCAAATAGGTTATAGAGGGGTGCTAGAGTAAAAAATTTCAAAAACTGGACTAAAATGTGGTGCAACTTTGTTTCGAGAGAAGTGCATGTATGTTTTGAAAATAGAGGGAAAATTTAATTTGCTCAAAAATATTACTAGAGAAAAGAAAAAACCTATGCATCTTCATGTACAAATCGTACACAAAGTAGGCAAGTTACCTTGGGGCCATTGGCACATTAGCGTCATTTTGGCCTGAAAAGTTAAAAGTATAAAATATGTGAGGCATGTCTAGAAATATTTTAGTATCTCATAAACGAGTCAAAAAATTTGAAAACATGATACTTGTTAGGTAAACATGGATCTGAATGCTTGTCTGACCTTGTGATATTTTTAGATTGTAAATGATCAGAAATGGTAATTATCCCATTCTTATCTTTCTTACATGATTCACATTAGTCAACAGTGAAATCACAAACACTAAAACCAAAAGTGGAATTAATTTTGAAAGAAAAATGATTGCTACGTTTAAGATTGTTCTTCTAATGTGGATAAAGAATTAGCAACATAATGGCTTCATCCTATGACTCAGTATCGATTGTCCTATAGTTCTTGTAAGTTGCTCTAGATTGTTTAGAATGCTGTGTTGGGTATAACATTCAGTCTCCTGCTAAAATATGATACCATATGGTCAGTTTAGTTTGCAATCATCCTTTTTTTTGGTTACGTTATTACTCGAAAGTATTCCTTCGACATGGCATAAAAGGGCAATGAAATTAGGATCCAAATGTGCTCAATATGTACATTTTACAAAAATTCAAATTAAGGAATCAAACTTTGGCAGATTAGAGACAATCAGTATTTAAAGAAGCTTGCAAGTTAATGCAAATTTCGATGAATCAATAATATATATATATATTATGAAAGAGTAAAAAGAACAACAACATTTCACCCGGGGAAAAAAAAACAGAAACAGCCAAAAAAGACCAGCTCATAATTTACCGGATTACCCAACAATAAACTATTGCATAACTCAACAGCCACTAGAATAACGAGCTGCATTCTCTGCAAGGACCAAAATCACTTCATAATACTCTCCCTCATATGACATCTTTATATAGTTACTTCATCAGTCATTAGAAGAAAACAGTTTAAGGTTTATGTCAGTCAAATATCAAGATGGATTGTCCTGGCTTATAACAAGGGCCTCTGTAGAAACGCTCGGGAGTTCTATTAAATGTCATCGAAGGGCCATTGAATTCCGCTAATAATCCGTACGAAACACAGGATACTATCACACTATCAAAATAGAACAACCCCCACCTCCTTTACATAATAAGTAAGAACTAATGGGGACTGGACAGTCCAGATTCATTAAACAATTTCTTTATACTTCATTTTTTAAAAAAACTTTAAAATATGCGAAATGGAGTATAAATAATCTTTTAATTGTCAACTCCAAAAAAGGGGGAAAAAGAAAACAGAAAAATCATAATACAAATGCAATAAAATAGAAATGAAAAAAATCTAAATGATCCAGATGGGTGGCGCAGCCGTGTAGCAGACAAAACCAAAGCTAGAGATGGGAGACATTATAAGAGAGATAATATTTGTATCGTAGACATCGGAGCTCAATTTTACAAAGCAGAAAGCCAAAACTCAGCCTCACTTGTGTAAGCCACAGGATCCAATGTAAAATTACCAGCTTCAATGCGAATAAAATGGCGTTTTTACAAAAGATACAAAATCTTAAAAGAAGACCAAACCGCGTGAGAAGAATTTATTATACAGAGGTTTATGGTCATATATATTTATATATGCTGACACTTGACAGAAAAGTTACTCTAAAATGACGATCAAATTCAATCATAGTTTATAATTAAATTATAAGACTTGAAAGAACAAATAAATTAATTTATCATCATAACATAAATTAGTGTACCTTTTCCTGGTATATATACACCAAACCACTTCCCTTGTTGGAATCAGCACCAGGATTATACTTCCGCAGCAACTCCTGATCAATCTTCGTCTGGTTCGCAATTGATTCCAGCGAATCCTCAGTTCTGAGTGGGTAAGTGATGAACAAACCATACTGTTTCAAAACGTGGCTATCCCCACAGTAACAGTTCACCGCCACATCGAGCGTAACAGAATCAGGAATATTGTTCGGCGAATAGCCATTGCGGCTCTGCAACTCCGAAGCTGTGGTCAAATTGGAGTAGGTCTGATTCGCAATCTTCGTATAGGTGTCTTCTTTCTGCACTGGGTACTTAAATACGTAACCTGGATTTGCCCCATCGATGCAATCGCAAGGGAACGGAACGTTCACTCGAATATTCCTTGGGATATAGTCTTGGCTAGTTAGTATGCCTGTGTTATAGCTGACGATATCCTCAGCCCTTTCAAGAACCGGGGATTGCATAATCTTCGAAAGTTGGGTAAGATTGTCTAATTGGTCTGAAATATAGTAGGAGGCCAAAGCCAAGTTGCATCGTTTCTTGCACTTCGATTCTGCGTTGAAACAAAGGGAAAATAACAACAACAAGAGGAGTGGAAACCCAAATCTGGTTATCATTTTCTGTACGGGATTGATAAGAAAAGCAGAGAAATGGAGATGTGAGTGTGCTGAATGAATAAGCAGGGAGAAAGAAGCTTAAAATTTTGGATTGTATAATGGGAATGTACGGAATGTTTCCCAGTGGGATTAAAATTAACGAACGAAATAATGGAGGATTTGTATTTGATGTGAATGTTAATCATTGAAGACAAGTCAATTGATGAGGAAAAGTTTCCCGCGTATTTTCCTCCGGACCGCTTAGGGAGAGACGGTAGCAAAATTGAAGACTGGCAACCAAAGTCAAAGTTGGGATTTTGTTAGCCGGCTGAAGCAGCTTATTGGTTGCGTCCTTGACGGGGTGGTGAAAAATCTTGAGAAATTGTAATTAGGTCCACGTAAGGGAATAAAATCATGAAATTATTCTGAAATGAAATCCTAAGAGATCTTATTATAATAAATTTTATTTGTTTAATTATAAAATTGCTTTTTTTTTAAATTTGTATTGACAACTGAAAGAGCAGTGGTTGACAACTTAAGGTGTCAGAATTGACAACTATCGCGTGATAGTTGTCAATTCTGACACCTTAAGTTGTCAAACACTGCTTTTTTAGTTGTCAATGCAAACTTAAAAAAAAAGGTAATTTTGTAATTAAACAAATAAAATTTATTACAATAAGGTCTCTTGAGATCTTAGAATAATTTCATGATTTTAAAGGACTCTTTTATATTTAATTCCATTAGGTGGGACCTAATTACAATTCTCCCAAAAATCTTTCAAACACCAGGGCTTTTTTTTCCCTATCTTAAAAAAAAAAAAAACTTTTTCCCTTCAACTTCTCTAAAATTATCAAACTCAAGACACAATTTTGAAGCGAATTATGCATCAACCTCATTAAACATGTACAGCGAAAAGAAAAAAGTAGTTCAAATAATTTAAAATATACATGTCAAAAAAAGTGCTCAATAGTCTCCTTGTTAATGATTATGTCCAGTTGCAAAATGGAAAATATTTTGATACATATGAAAACATATTGCACAAGATAAATTGCACCAACTCAAAAGACTTGGATTCTTTAGACAATAAATTTTGCCATGAATAATTTTCATCAATTTTCTCTAACACTATTTATATATGGGGTCAATGTCTCGTAATATAACCAAAAAAAAAAAAGATAGGCAACACTTAAGTTTATACTGGTTAAAGTTTTCTTAATGAAAGTAAGTCACTACCTACGCATTGCTTTGATGTGATCTTTTACTTTTATAATACCTTTTAAGTCTTTTATCCTTAAACTATAAATTTCGATAACAAAATTCAATGCTGCAATTTTAGATGCTAACAAAAAGTTTCCAATTGATATGATAATATTTTAATTCAGTCATTTTTATCTTAATAAATTAAAATTAATATGTTGATATTTAGAATGCTTTATCAACACTTAAAATTGTAATGTTGACATTTTTTTCCCTGTTAAATAAGATTAACATTGTTAAGATCAAATGACTAAAAAGTAAAAAGACAGAGATCAAATTGAAAACTAAACTACATTATTGCCTTCTCTCTCTCTCTTTTTAAACTAAGTTTCTAGTATATTAGTTAAATAACAATATTCGTAAAAATTTCATTTGGATGAAATTATTGACATTAATATTATTATGGATTTAAGATCTAGGGAGATCCAAAATAACAAGAATGTCACTTAATTTAAATATTACTCCTCTGGTCCTTACTATAAAACATAATTGTATTTAGGACCTATTTCTCATATTTATCAATTTTTTTTAAATTATACTTATAAATACTCTATCAACCATTATCAAATAGAAGAGGAATAGAGAATATTAAAGAAGATGATTATAATATTTTAGAAAAAAATCATATTTTTTATAATTAACTAACTTACTTAACTTCTTTAATTTAATCAAATTAGTTAAATATGTCTTATATTAAAGACTATTCACTTATGCTCTCTGTTTCCGCTGCATCAAATTTGGGTATCGGATTTTCATACAAGGAGGCAACATCCCATTTCACAGAAGCAGAAGAGAGTGCCATTAGAGCCACCACAACAGATCTCATTCTTGGACGTCGGTCTGGTTTTTTCTCTGTGCATGCCTTGGCTAGTTGGACCATCTACAAGTCCCATGACAGGCATTTCAAGTGGTTAGATTCATCAACAGATTTGAATTCTATACAGATTATAACATCCTAAAATCACTTAAAATAAGCTAATCCAAATACTCACTATGTCAAAAAATACCACTACATCCTATCATAAATATAAGAGCTAGATAAAAAGTTTATTTTAGTTCTAAATATGAAATCCCAATCCCAATCCACTATCTTTTAAATTTATAATTTTTTCCCCTTCTGTATGTCCATGTTGATTGCACATAGCAAGAAGATTTCAATCAAGAATAGCTATAATGCACATGATTAGAATGCAGTATTTATGAATTTTGATCTAATCGTTGTTATCATATCATGTCATTTGGAGAACTATTGCACAATGTGCAAAACAGTCAACAGTGTTGTGCAATAGACGACCACCGCACACATAGTTAAGGCCAGCTTGTGCGAGGCTTTATTATATGCAATTGCTTTATAGAGAATTTCTGCATTGTGATTTGCGGTAAGTTTTTAAATAGCGTCAATTTCACTTCGTATAGTAGATGATGTTCACCACTGTATTGCTTCTTCTTCTCTCTCTCCTATCTTTAAATGTAGGGGCTAAATAATTAATTTATAAAAATTAAAGAATTTAGTTAAACTAATTATTTGGAAAGAATATGTATTAAACTTTCTTTAATATGTACAATCAATAAGAAAAATTAAGGGGATCATAAATTTTGGAGGCAAAATGAAATAGAATTTTACATTTAAAATTAAAATAAATCCTTCAATTAGCTCTTATAATTAGAACCAGAAGAAGTATTTGCTATCAAGTTATTGGTCTAAAAATGCTGGCAAGTAACCCACATATATTTTCCAAACACAAATGTTTAAGTAGTTCATTATTTGCTCACCTTGTAAACAGAATCGAATGTATATTGGTCTTCAAGCCTAGGATCAACAAGCTTTAGAAGATGTTCTTCAGGATTAGGCTGCTCAAGAGCTTCTTCAAACTGCAGCAACCAAGGCAAATATAACCCTTAGTTATTCGATTAAAATGCTAGATATGCATTTAAAAAATCAAGACTAAATAAAATATTTATAATGGAGAAGTCAAGAATCACCAAAGAGACAAGGGTTCTCGCTTCAGAACCAACTTCACCGACACTGAGCACAGCTGCTTGAGCAGATATAAGTTCGCAGAGAACAACTCCGAAAGCATAGACATCGGTTTTAACAGTACCATCATTCCTATGCAAACAAAACATAACTTATTTTTCCTTTCTTACTTGAATGTATGCTAAGAAAGTGCACCTATTAGTCAGAAAACTTGTCCCTATAAACCATTTCAAGGAAAGCAAGGAGTTCCATACCAAGGAAAACTTTCTCGATATTCACATCCAATTATGTTAACGAAATAAGTAGAGCAGTGAAATAGAGAACAGATGGAAGCAATTTCTAACGTTGAGCAAAAAAGAAAAAAAACGAGAGAGAGAAGAAGAAGAAGCAATTTCTAACGCTTCAGAGCCTGTTTGGTTAAGTAGCAGGATCTCAAATAAGCCCGTTTAAATCCAAATAAGTGATTATGAAGCATCTTTATCTTGTTTGGATAATTTTTATAAAATCCTGATAAATCATGATTTTATCCTTTTACCGCACTTTTAGGATAAACAATAAGGAGTAACTTATGTGTTTGAAAAATCTTGATCAATCTTCAGCAACTAAATTTTCCCCAATCTACCCTCCCACACTCTTCCAAAAATCTCTCCTCAAATATTAACCTCATGCCCTTTTTAGTAATTATACATCCATAAGTGATTTAATAAATGAAAACCAAACATAATCACAATTTTTAAAATCACTTGTGAGAAAAAATATCCAAACAGAAATCATGATTAATCAGTGTCACTTATAGAAAGTGTCAAACGGGCACTAAGACATTTGCCTTAACAGAAGATACAAATAAGTGGTCCACAGTGTTTGTTATGATAGACGTGAGTGCTCCTTTTAGCCATGTTTGTTATGTGGCAAAATTAATCAATTTGAAAAGGGAAAAGAGGGATGCCCGCCATAAATTTGTCTTAAATCTACGGGATGGCCTCAGGTTCTAACTCCCACTTCAGCACAAAGTGCAATTCTTACTTAGCATAGAAAGGGTTCGCAGATATGTTCAAATATATAGAAATAGAATATTAATTCTATGAGCTAGCTACAGCCTGAAAGGAAAAAAAGAAGTTGCCATACTGGAGTGGTATATAACCGAATGTGCCTGCAAGCCCTTTAGAGAGATGAGATGAACTTCCCACTTCAATGAGCTTGGTTAACCCAAAATCTGCAACCTGAAAAGATGAATAATCAAGGACTTACAAGTCATTACAAAAACTGAAAAATAGAGATGGGTTCTACAGATATTGGACAAAAATTCAACCTTTGCACGGAAGTTTTGATCTATCAATATATTAGCTGGCTTTATATCACGATGAATATATACAGGCACTGTATGCTCATGAATGTATTCAAGAGCCCTGGCTGAATCCAGAGCAATTCGCACTCGTAGTGACCACGGCAATGGTTCTCTCCCTATCAAAAAATGACTTGATCATTAATATAAAATTTAAAGTATATTGCAAGCCGTACTATTTACAAGCTACAAATAGTATGGTTTATTTCTTAGACTTGTAATTTTTAGGAAATGTGTCTAGATAAATTAATATAATAATCAAATCAATGTGCATAACTGAAATAGATAATGGTGAAATGCTTTTCGCACCTGGATCACGTAAGTGCTCTTTTAAGTTCCCATTGTCAATATATTCATATACCAGGAAAAGACAATTCTTCTGAACACAATATCCGATCAAGCGTACCTGCACAGTTTTTTACAATTTCAATTGAACTTAAAATGAAGTAAACAACAATTGTAAACCACCCATAAGATGGATGCTTGAAATCCTGAACGTGCAGTCATAAAACACTGACACAGCTAATGACAAGGCAGAACATGACAAAACAACAGCATAGAAGCATATTAGATTAACTGTTGTGCATAAGCATATTACAACCAATGTTCTCATAGAACTTAATTGAAATCACATCAATCTAGAACAGCTTCTCACTAATTTTATATACCAATTGTATAATTTATAAGCTGTTAATTCTTAATGTTTTTAGTAATTTTCTACTGGGGGATTAGGGGAAAGTTGGCATGAACAGTAGGGTGTGCTGCGGTTCTGTTAAGGGTGTCTTAAATTGTGAACCGTGGAGTATGCGTTAGTTCTCTCACAAAATTGCAAGCACACGACACGATATATGGACACTAGTAAAGACTCCACCCACTAACTCAATTCACCTGCTTTCATACTCTGTTGCGCTTTATATTTTTGTGAAGCAAATGCATGGTGCAGAGATGATTCTCTTTGATACAAATTATTGCAAAAGTAGAACAAAATAAGCAGACGAGTGGAGAAAGACTGAAGAGTCGTGAAAAAGAGCAAGACAGATGTTGGATGAGTTGAGAAGCGTTTGAATGAGCTGAGTGAGAAGAAATTGTTCGTATCCTGCAGGATGCTTTTACAAGTAAAGAATGCTTTTACAGTAACCTCCCTGAGAAAGTGAGAATGATTATTTACAATAAACTTCTAAGTAAAAAAGTAAAAATGATATCAGTAATTCCAGAAATGAGTGATGCGGAGGGAAAAGTAGTTTGATCTTGGAGAATAGAATTTGATGCTATCAAGCTTTAAAATAAATCATGACTAATCCTGAAAAGAGATAACCTTCCAAGTCTAATAATGGTAACGTTCCGAGTTCAAAACAATGAAATTGTGAAGCCTCCAAGCGAATGCCAAGATTAATGTTGAACCCCTTCACTATATGAACACTAACATCTACCATATCACTCGGCAGCCCAAAAAACCATCAAAGTCATACATGATTTAACTTCTAAAGAAGCATTATATTTACTTATATGCTCAAAAAATACATCAACTTTTTATTCGAAAGTTACTATACCAGGTTCAGGTGATGAACACGTGTTAACACTTTCAATTCAGCAAGAAACTCTTCTGCATTTTGTGACTTCATCTTTTTAACTGCAGCTCTCTGCAAAGGAAAATCCCTTTAAGAGGTTTATTTAATCAGAGAATAAGAAAAGTAAAATGACAATAAAAAAGAACAAACAAAGTCCTACGCATCCTAAGAATATTATAATATTATCTGAACAGTAACCCTTCATGAGGTGAAAAGAGGCAAAACAACATCATCAACAACAACAGTTTAGATCCGAAATTTTGGGTTAAAATGTAAAAGATTAATTGAAATAATATCATTTTTAAGCCACAGTAAGAGGAAAAGAAAAAGGCATGGATGAAAATAATATCATTCTTTATTGCTTGATTCTTTCCTAATTTAAATAGTCAAAGATAAGATTTTATTCTCTTTTATTACTCTTTATTAAGTTTCCTAGGATAGGTCTGCTACGGCCTCTATAAAATCCTGTGCAACTCTTGATCTTTACACAATACAATAAGAAATTCCTCAGTATTTCTGCTCAATTATTTCCTAGAACCAAGGATTAGTCCGTACAATCCCCTTCAATATGGTATGGAAGAGGAAACTCAGGAAAGGATAGCAAAAATGACTAACAAATCCTAGTTACAGCACAGGAAATAGGAAAACAGTAACAATAAGCAAGGAAAGAAGGAGTTCCTTGGTGTCAGAGAGGTCAGAGGCTCTCCCAAATCATCCACTCCTTGGTTGCCTCCTGAAAAACTAACTCTGACACCCTCCTTGGGATTAGAGGGCTGTAGGCCATCCCCACGGCCCAATTCCGGCTGCTGAGTGTCATGTCCAGATTTGGGGTCCCTACTCTTATATACTCAGCCCACTTTAGTGTTGAGCCCATCACATGTTAATGTCTCCATTCAGTTGATAAATCCTGATTTTAATATATTGTTTGATATCTTTTTAGAGATATTTATCAATTAAAGTGGGATAAATTGCATTGATTGTAGATATTTTGAATCAAATACTGATTGCATGAAATTAGAGATTTAATAGGAGATCTTATCATATTTTTATCTCTTTTTAAATAATTGATTTTGGATTTGGTGATAGTATCTCAATTTATCTTTTGCAGGCCTTTAAAAAATAAGGAAATAAAGATAATGAGAAAACTGAAAGGAAGGAAACAAAAAAATACAAAAAAGAAAAATTGGAGACACAGCTTGGATGACATCAGATTATGATATTATCTGTATTTTTATGGATTCAAAAAGAGGATATAGAAATTATCCACACGCTTATCCTTCATATTTGATTGGATATATATTATATCTCCTCCTTCACGCAGGTATCACAGCGCCCCCCATTCCATTCCTACATATACCACCGTACACACACTCATAGTCACCACCTCACTCACAAGCCTTCAGCTCCTCTCCGCATATACCCGCCCACGCCATCAGTTTTCGTCTTTTTTCCCTTTCGGCCACATTCACACCTCATTCACACACCGTTTTCATATACCCCCCGCCCCACATTCAATTATCATATTCCCCCTTTCGGCCAAAGACGCACTTCAACCATAGTGGCGCTTTGTCCACCTATTCCACAGGCTTCATATCATCATCCATCTCTTCCATAACTATCATCATTCACCGTTGGCCCCTATTATTTGTATTCTACAAATAATCTTCACACCCACTTTCTCACCAAAGCCTCCATGAATTCTCATTGCTTCAAATATATTGCGGATTCTTCTAGAGCCATGAGAGGCTAATTTTCTTGTGCTTCTGTGTGAAGATGGAGGAGTAGCTTGAGCTTGGAGCTTCAACAGGGAGGGGAGTATTTAGTTTTCCAATTAATTTTCTCTTGGACTTCATTAGATTTTTCCTGTGTTAGGAATATTTCATTTGATTTGGAGATTGAGATTATGCATTATAATTTATGTTAATTGGATTTTTACAGTTTAATTTGTTGTTGTATTGCTTGAGATTTGAATTTATATATATTCCTTTGCAATTAGTAAAATTATTTTATATGGCACGTTGTTAGATTTTTATGATTGAGATGTATTGCAATTGAGTGTCTCCGTGAGCATTCTTTGAGAGGGAAACAAGTTTTTATTAACTCAATTTAAATTGCACGTCAAGTGGTTTTTTAAAAGTAACCTAATAACTTGATTACTATCTAGCGTTTAGAGTAATTAAGGTAAGTTTACTTGACCCAAACCGGGCTTGGGGTTGTTTTCTTAACTTGGTGTATTATTTTACTCCCATATCTTATTAAGCAAGGATAGCTACATTCCTTTCAAGAAGCATTCTCATCATTTGATTTTCAAAATTCAAATTTGCATTTTTCATTCTTTCTAAAAATACCAAAAAAAATAGTTAGATTTATTTCTTACTCTCTTATTAGTTTTATTAATTGAAAATCCTTTTTCAACCCTCCTTTCAATTCTTTGTCACTTAGTTAACTAAAGAATTAATAAAAAGCTCCTCAAGAGACTCGACCGAGTTGTGCTTTACTGCATAATTTGGTTTTTATTTTTGATTTAACCAAGGGCGACTAAAAAGGTTTAAATCATCAGTCATTTTAGCTCTTTGTACTATAACTTCGAAAGTGACTTCTCTTTTTTTATTCCTCATTCCTTCAGCATGAGTTCAACTATTAATTCTCTTGTCCATGATCAAAAGATTATAGTTGATACAAAGGAGAACACAAGTCTCTAGTTTATCTATCTTCTCCAGTATGCATATTCAAAGAAACTTTAAATACCAACAACAGTTTTATCACACTGCTATAAAATCAGCAATGATATATGGTAGTGAGTGTTGGACTTTAAAGGGACAACATGAAGATAAAGTGGCAATAGCAGATACGAGAACATTAAGATGGATGTGTAACCATACAAGAAAAAATAGGATTTGTAATAAACATATACACGGAAAAGTTGAAGTGGTTGCTATTGATGAGAAATGATACAAAACCATTTGAGATGGTTTGGTCACACAAGAAAGCATTTAGATGCGTCGATGAGAAGAGTTGATCAAAATAGATGCTCAAAAAGGAGTACAAGAAGGCCAAGAGAATAGTTAATAAAGTTATTGAGCGAGATCTTTTAATTAATAATATATCTAAAGATTTGGCTTTGGATAGAACTCAATGGCTTTATGCAACCCATATAGCCAACCCTATCTAGTGGGATAATCTTTGTTATTGATGTTGTTAAAGATGAATTATACTTTGCTGATACTCACTTTTTCAAAGTTCAACATTCTTATAGTAGTTGTGTTTCAAATCCACCACATGTAATGCTCTTGCATTTGGTTGAATGCTATAACTCATCAATAGAGCAAGACTAAAAACTTCTTGTTTGAGTATTTTTCACACAATATTGCTAAAAAGATTCAGGCAAAAATATATATATATATATATATATATATATATATGCATCATTGATAAGACTGTCCTCAAACGAATATGAATGAAACACAACTTTTCTTGTAAAGTGCATGTAATCAAATTTAATTTCATAGTACATGAGATCACAAACCTCGCCTCTCAGCTCCGCATAGTAGACAGCCCCAAAACCACCTTGACCAATTTTATTTGCCATGCTGAAGTTGTTTGTCCCTCGAGCTAATTCTTCATATGAAAACTCCACTGACTTCTCCACAGTAATACCTTTGATGCCAGTATTAACAGCAGCAGGAGGACCATTGGAATCTAAAATTTTACACCAGAATTACTATATTAAATCATCAACTATATTGTCATATTCTACACATTTAATGCATTTTTTCATCATATCTAATGCAGAAAGCATTTATAATCAGAACAAACGTGTTTTTACTATCCTTGTGGACCATCTATGAGGTTCAGTTTCTCATTTTGATTACAAAAAATACTTTAAAGCAAAATTTATGGGTTTCATACCCAGGAAAGCACATCTTGCACTAAAAGATTTTATCAAAAGTTACATGCTCTAGGCTCTAATCAACAAAAGTTAAATCTAAATTTGATATGGCTATATGATCTATCATAGGGGAAAAACTCCAGTGTGTTGTGGTTTGGGTTTTTATCTTTGATAAGACAGTCAGGTGCCATAACTTGTTGGCAACCTAAGGCCCAGGCCCAAACCTTAATCACTTAACCTAGATGACCTCGCAGTCACCTATATGTGCTTCCTGCATATGTTTATTTTCTTTACTTATTTATTATTTGTTATTCATCTATTTTAGGAATAGTTTCTATGCTGGTTTAATTCCTGATTGATCTAATCTTGGATACCCCATCATTCTCTAGGGTATCCGACCCTATATAACTTGTATCCTCTTTATTGAATAAACACAGGAAATATATGCTCTGTTTCAAACACAACTAATCCCCATTTGGGGACTCAGCTTGTCCCATGACAATAGTTTCTTTAGGCGGGAACCCTTGAACTGCAAGGAATGTCTGTTTGTCCACATGCAGCTCAATTTGCCAATTGAGCCACATATTGTGGCTAGGTATGCAAGGCTATGATAGGCTATATAGTATTGAGTTAATTAATAAATAAATAAAGTTTTGATTCCTATGTGAACTGCAAGTCAATAAGAATAATCGGACTGACATGGATATTGAAACAAACTAAATTAGCTTACAACCCTAAAAACTTGAGCTGATTAAATGGAATTATCAATCAGTTTTCTCCCTCAGTCAATGATTTTTCAGCTACGTGGACACCATGCTTTTACAAGGAATATGAATTATCCGGCAGCAAGAATCTATGATGTTTCATGAAATTAACTATATAGAAAGCATCAAACCAAAAACTTCTATTAGCAAGAGAGACAAGGGAAATAAGACCACCAATTGAACATCGTATGAGGCTATTTCAGTTTTACTTCAGAATGTTGAAGAAGTTAGAGAAGAGTTATTAATGGGATGTTTTAAGAAAATTAACCAAAGAAAGCATCAGACTGTAAACTTTTCCTTTTCAGATAGCTAGTGAGAGAGACAAAGGAAATGAGACCCACAATTGAGCATGTTACAAGGTTATTTCAGTTTTACTTCAAAATGCTAAATTAGATGAGAGTTGTTAAATCATTTAAGCCTTTGGAACATTTTCCATTTTACTCATGTTTTATTGAAAGTGCAATGAAAAGGAGGAAGGGCAAATGTAGGCATCTGTTTACCGTTCCTTGTTTGAGCAGAGAAGACTACTAATTCTCCAGAAAGCAGTTTTGCCCCCTCCTCCTTCTTACGGTAATATGCAACATACATATAAACAGCCAATAAGAGAAACCCAGCTACTGCTCCAGCAGATAATCCAGCAATAGCCCCACCACTTAGACCTGTTTCTTGAGAAATTATATCAGTTCAAAGTGGCGCTGACCCTATATTTCAGCATATCCTTACCAAAGCATTCATCAAATAAGCAACTTTCTAAGGAGAGAGATCGTCAAACCTCTTCTGCTGCAAAGAAAATGAGAACACACATTAGGATTAACACATTTAGAATAAATTACAAGAACTCTCAAGTTTGGCTAAAATTATGCAGATACATTTCCAAAATATACAATTTAATCCCAGCTTGAATTTTTTTTTTTTTAAATACAACCCTATATTAAATAAAACATACAAATATGTATTATGTCCAAGCATGCAAAAGTTTAAAGAAAATGTTTTCACAAATTTTAACACCAAAAAAAAAATTGCACTTATGCAGCGAAGGGTACTCTAGCAAAAAATTTTAAAATTGGACTAAAAACGTATTGTAACTTTGTTGCAAAATAAGTACATGTACATTTTGAAAATAGAAGGATACTTAAATTTAATTTAGTCAAAAATCTGATTAGAGATAATATTTAGAAGGACAGGGAAAACCCATGCCACCTCATGTACAAATCATCATCGGGAGAGTAGGGAAGTTACCTAGGGGGCAGCGGCACAAAGACACCATTTTGGCCTGAAAAGTGAAAGCAAAGAAAAATATTTGAGGCAGGTGTAGGAATATTTATAGCATCCCTTAGCTTTTGAGCATTTTTAGATTATAAAAAATCAATTGTGGTTATTCTCCCTTTCTTATTTTTGTTCGCGATTCACATTAGTTGACAATGAAGTCATCACTGATGCCCAAAGTAGAGCTAATTTTGAATGGAAAATGATCATTCCTTTAAAAATATTCCTCTAATTACGATAAAAAAAACTAGCAACATAACAGCTTTATTCTATAACTTAGTATAGATTGTCCTAAAGTTCTTACAAGTTACTGTGTAGTTCGTTTAGAGAATTGAGTATAACAATGGTTTTGAGTTCATAAATGATTTTGGCAGGTATGTGGGTGTTTGTTCTTATCAATTTTAGCATGCATACAGGGTTTTTGGATGATTTTCAAGAAAGTTATGATTTTGACTCTTATAATATGTGCTGAGAGATGAGATTATCGAGACATACATAAATTAATGTACCTTTTCCCGGGATATACACCACACCACTTCCTTTGCTGAAATCGACACCAGGATTATACCTGCGCAACAAATCCTCATCAAGCTTCGTCTGGTTCGCAATTGATTCCAGAGAATCCTCGGCTCTAAGTGGGTACGTGATGAACAACCCGTACTCTTTCGAAACGCGGCGATCCCCACACGAACAGTTCACCGTCACATTGAGCGTTCCATGGTCAGGAATATTGTCCGGTGAATAGCTATTCGCACTCTCCAACATCAAAACGGTGGTCAAATTGGCATAGCTCTGATTCGCAACCAACGCATAGGTGTCTCCTTTCTGAATCGGGTACTTGAATACGTACCCCAGATATTCACCATCTATGCAATCGCAAGGGAACGGAATGTTCACTCGAGCGGTGGTATTGACATAGTCGTCGCTTAATAATTGGTCTGTGTTATAGCTGATGATATCTTGTGTTGTTCGAAGAACTGGGGATTGCATGATCGGCGGAAGGGCCGTGATATTGGTAAAACCGACCCTACTGGTAAAACCGACCCAAATGTAGTAGGAGGCAAGAGCCAAGCCACATCCTTTCTTACACTTGGATTCTGCATTGAGACAGAGAGAGAATAACAGTAAGAAGAGAAACGGAAATCCGAATCTGGGTACCATTTGTATATGGTCGTGCTGAAAAAGCTAAGAGGGAAAAAGAATCCCAAACGGAAATGAGTGCGCTGATGAATGAATAAGCAGAAAGAAAGAATGACCGAAGCTCTGAAGATGGGCTGGGGAAGAATCTTCTTCCTAAAAATCAGGGAAAGCTAGAAATGATTCACAGAATGAAAAAGCAGAGAAAACAGAGAAAAAGAAGCTTTGAAAGTTGGGAATGATAGTGCGATAACTGTATTGGTGTGCGAACGAGCGAATGTTGATCATTGAAGATAAGAGAAAAGTCAAGTGATTGGTAATACTCTCCCGCGTTTTGCCGGGGAGTGATCATTGAAATGGAAATTGGAATCAATGTTGGGACGCAATTTTCCAATCAGAGTTTAGACTTGAATCAGGATAGCCCGCAGAAGAAGTTAATGACTGGACCCATTTTCCTAGTGGGTTGGCGAGGGCAAGAGTCTTTCTGGGAAAAATGGACGTTGGAAATTCAACTGAAGAGCTTGGGATAGCAAAATATCTCTGTTGGGAATATGAAAAAATCGTAAAAAAAGCCGTCAAAAAAAATACTCCTCCGGTCCTTATTATAAGATCCAATTTGACTTTTTATTTGGTCATAATTATAAGACCCAATCCATTTTATCTCTTATATTTATGCATTTTTTTCAAAGATAATCCTTCTAATAATGATAGTTTTAGCCAATATACTTAATTAGCAAGGATATTTTAAGAATAACAACACTTATTTATTATAAATAATCAACTTAACTTGCTTCCTTAATCTCCTCAAATAAGTCAATTGGGTCTTATAATTAGGACCGGAGGAGTATATATATAAAGATTTGTTTGTAAAAATTATCATCAAAACCAATACCATTATAATCAAGATCTATACTATTTTTTTGGTTGTGGTTTTTCCAATAATCTTCGTCTCTCCGGGGATAATCGAATAACTGCGCAATGGAATGGGACACCAAACATGGTGGGACAGGGAAGGAGAATCCCCTCTCTACTTTGCTTCTCAAAATCTCACCTCCACGTACCAATAAAAAACTACCTCTGTTACTTATCTCATTTAACTAGTAGTTTGGTTCTAAATATAAAATCCTAATTTACTATATCTTTTATATTTATTTATTTTTTTAAAATAATTTTTATAGTAATCGTATATGTTAAATATTTCATCAAATAGTAATTCTAACTAAATACATTATTAATATGGATATTTTAGGAAAGACAACACATATTTGTAACAAATAACTAACTTAACTAATTTCTTTAATATTCCAAAATGAGTCAACTAGATCTTATATTAAGGATCAAAATAGTATATAATTTAGATTTAATATTTCAAAAACTGTTATTATCATGGTACATAAATATGAGTGAAAAGATGGGTATTCATCTTTTCAAAATATTAAATCCCAATCATCTATTTTGTATTTGCTGGTCAAAAAAAACAAATCATCTATTTTGTATTTAATGATAAGGATGGGATTTTGAGAACAAAACGAGACAGGGATTCTGAGAGAATTGGAATCGAAGTATGTCCACCCCATCAATACAATTATCACTTATTTAAAAATCTTAGTGGTAGACAATTTTTACATACTTTTATAAATTCTCTTTAATTAAAAAGCATGCATGGACCTATCAAGCTTCGAATTCTAACTCACATAATTTTTTTTATCAGGAAAATACAGTGGGCTAAACATTTGAAATGGCAAAGTGTGGATATAAACTGAAGTCGTATAAGGAAAGATAACAAAATATGTTAGGATTTCAAATACTTAAAAACATAGGAATATGGAAAAGAAAGAAATATATGTAGGACTTAAGATGTGAATAAAACTTGAGGTCTAACTAAAGCCCAAAAAAATAGCTCTACGTCCGTTTGTTTAATATAAAATCTAGTTAATTAATTTAAAAATTATTTAAAAAGTTACCAAATTACTTTATAATATTTATATTTATTATTTTTATTCAAATTAATTTGCCTCATTTGTAGATTAATATATAATCTAATGATTTATATTTTAAAAAGATTTTGTAACATGTAATATAATTAAATAATATAATAATTTTTTTAATCTTTCTAAATTAATAATACAGAGATAGCAGTAATATTGTGGCCGCTTTTTCTACCATGTTGACAAATTGTCTCCCACGTTAGAAAATATTCTACGAGTCCCACTTGGTCAATGTCCTATGTTATTAGTCAATTAATTTAAGGAAAAATTTCGATTAAAGACGGCAGTTGAGAATTTATTTCAAACAAACCCCAAAATATTATGAAATGTCACTGTAGGACCAAAGGACCAAACTGAAATTAAAATTAAGAATAAGATTATAATAATACCCTTCATTTTTATTTTTTCAAAAAATAAATATTAATGATCACCGAAGTTCCAGCCACCGGAGGTCAGAGGTCCGGCCACTGAGCGCCTCTGCCGGAGGATGGGGCTTTCTTTGGTGGCCGCTACTGTAGCTCCAATGGCTGGAAGATTTGTTTTAAAATAAGGTGGCTAAGGGAAAGACTGATGCAAATAAAAATATATATAACAAAACAAACGTAAGTGTTCAAGTGTAAGTGAACAATAAAATTCAACAATTTACAAGTGAAATTCAACAAGTTACAACAAAAATTTGACAATTTACAAATAACATAATGGAATTTACAACCCTAAATGCAAGTGTTTAAGTGTAAATGAGTAGATGAAATTTGAAGATTTATAACAAAAGTTTATGGATTTACAACCCAAATTTGATGATTCACAAGAAACAACAGGGAAGCCACAACCCAAAATGTAAATATTTGAATGTGAATAAACAAGTAAAATTTAGCGATTTACAATAACAATTAAGATATTTACAACCCAAATTCAATAATTTATAAGAAACATGAATACTTGCATTTGAAGTTGTGAATTTTCTTATTAGTTTTGTAATGTTTATGTTTCTTATGAATAACTGAATTTAGATTGTAAATAGTTGAATTTTATTTGTTCATTTACACTCAAACACTTACATTTTGGATTGTAAATTTTTTTGTGTTTCTTGTGAAAAGCCGAATTTGTAGTGTAATTTATATTATAAAATAGGTCTTGTATTTAGAACTGGAATAGTACTTTAGATGTTACTTTTGATCCAATTTTTGAATTGAAGGCCCACTTTAACTTGAACCAGCTTGATATTATCTTAGAGTCTGTTTGGAATCACATTCATAAGTACTTATAAATATATTTTACGTAAATTAAAACAAAACTCTTTTTACATATTTTTCTAATTCGGTAAATCATAATTAAGAAAACTACTTATAAAACATTCTAAACGAGTTTTTAAACTACTTTCTCACGTGCATTAGAATTATTTTTTAAATGAGAACTTCTTACAATCAATATAAATATTTTGAGAAAAAATTATAAATTTAAGAGATAAAATATATTAGAGTATTATATTAAAATCAAATCTAACCATTCAACTAGCTCTCATATTAAGCACCATAGGTTGTATTTGATATATTCTAAATTTTTCTAAGTTTTCCATTTCATAGGGCAAAATGAACGGACGGACGAATGATTCAACATGGTATTGTTTTTACATACATTGTACAAACAATATTAAAAAAAAATTAATACACTATTAATAAATTGTACTCCCCTTGGTCTATAATATAAGTTGTTTATAGAAGCATAATTTGGTCCAAATATAAGTGACTTGAGAGTATTTGATACTTATTTATTAATTTTGTCATTGCAATTAATACTTAAATGTAATTCTTTGGATTTTTCTCTTTCCTTTGCAACCTAATTTAATATGGTTAAAGTTACAAAAAATTTAAATTTGGAACAAATTTAATGAGTCAACTACACATTCCTCTGGTCCTATTTATAACATAAAAAGAAAATATTTTTATGGTTCTATTTATAAATCACTTTATTAAATTTTTAACATAAATATACTTGTTCCTTATTTATTATAGTATATATATAGATATTTTTTAAAAGATATATATATTAAATAGAGATAAATTAAAAGGTTATTATATTTTAATAAAAAATTAATACAATTTAAGATTTTTTTAATCTGTATAAAAAGATACTGTAAATACTTTATAAAAGAAATAAACAAGAGTGGGGGAGTTTTTTTTTTCGTTTTTTTCGTTTTTTTTTTTTGGCCATCGAGTTAACTACACATGTTTGAGATGATGTGTGTGTATGCATGTATGCGTATATATGAATGGGTATATTGATGATCATTTCATGAAAGTTGGCGGGGCTCTAACGTTCATTTCGCTTGTTGGCAAGACCAAGTCATTTTAGTCATGCTTTTGAATTGGTCCAAGTCAACGATAGAACCAGCACAGTGCATGGGAAGCCCCTGAAGACAAGTCAAGCTGTTCATAAATGCCGAGGAGACTTTTGCCCCTAAAAATTCATATCTCTCTGAACAATTAATATCCACCCAACTGGCTGTTCACGTGCCCTACACACTCCCATGCAAGGAAAAAAAAAAAACCGGACCGGACAGGCCGGTTTGGACGGAAAACCGTGAACGATTCTCCAGTCCGGTCCGGATGAGCTGCTTGACTTGATCGGGGAACCATCAAACCGGGAAAAAACCGGTCCAGCCGGTAATAACCGGAATGAACTAGGTATTTCCTGGTTGGTCGATTAGCCTTTTTATTTTTGCCTGTCAGCACCCCTAAAATACTGTCGTTTTATTTATTAAAAAAATTTTCTCTTCTTCGGTTCCTCCTTTCCTTTTCGCTCGCGACTGTCTCCCATCGGGCCATTTTCCCTCCTTTGAAGACTGAACCTGGCGGCAGCTCACGCGACTCCCTCCCTCAAACCAAAATCAATCCCTACTCCCTAGCGTTGCCGACGGCACTACAGTCTTCGGCAGAGGTCGTTGTTCGGCAGAGCTCCAAAATCGCAGTCATAGCTAGTCTGATCTCCCTCAACGTCCTCGCAATCTATAGCAGATCTGAAACCGAAAATCACAGCTCTCCACCTCACAAAGTCGCTATTGCATCACTAGTCTGGCGGTTTGAGCTTACAAGTCTCCCTCACGTGACCACGTCCCACTTGGCCTTCAGCATTCGCAGTTTGGCAGTTCGTAGAAGTTGAATCCAGAGTCACAGGTCTCCCTCAAATCCCACTCGGCCACTCAGCATTGTCCCTTCGGTGCATTAAGTTGTGGGTAAGCTCAAAACTTTTCCCTTTCAGCTAGATTGTGTTTTTAGGATTAAAGAGATGTCTTTGTTGTTGCTTCTTTCTCTTCGGCTGTCCAAAGATTTGGGCAGGGAGGAGATGAAAATTATATTTTGATTTCTGATGAATACTTGAAGTAGGAGAGGGAAAGTAGATGAATTTGTTGAAATAATATAG